GGGCACTTCTTTTGTTCGCTGTCATCTGTGGTAGAACAGGTTTTGCAAGCCTTTGAAAAGTGACAAAACTTACAAAATCTGTTTACTAGAAACAGTTGTGGAATGACTGTACACACCACAAACATTGATGCCTGCTCCAGATCTTCTCCATCATTCTGAGGCAACCATTGCATACCTCTTTTGATAGACTTTGACCAGCCCCTTCTCATGCTTTAAAAACATGCATATGTGCCCAGTTCCCTACATTTATTTCCCAAAATTTGATTAGGTAATGGTTATGACAAAACTGACCCTTAGTATGATGACAGGGTACACAGATCTGAGTTATAAAGGATCTGACTCACCCAGTCCTGACGGTTAACATCTGCTGCTAAGTTCGTCATTCCCCTTTAAGATTAATGGAAGTCTAAATGGAAAGATGTGAAACTTGTTTTCCTTGCTGTTCCAGCAGGTTTTGTGGAAGCCACATGGCTGTTCAAAAAGCTTGTTTTGTGGTTTCTGAAACCATGAGAAGACCTCTGACCTTGCCTTTAAGAGTAGTGCTCGCAGTTACCTGTAGTGCTTAAACATCTGGGGAAGTTGAGGTGTAGCAACATTGTATTTATGCATGGGGCAGTAGTTATGGTGACAGTAACTACTTCATAAACAGTGACAGCCCACGACTTCCTCAACTGTGAATGAGTGCCTATGTGCTCCTTCTTCCCCCATCCACCCCTTTCCTGGCCTATTGTTCTGACATTAAGTCACTGCTTCCAGGTTTGAACATAACAAGAACTCTGACTTAACGCAATCTAGGATCTCCATTGCAAAGCTAGTGCGGAATGAGGGAATACAAGGCGTGAGTATGTGTCTATGGCACACATACCATGGTTACTGAAGCTGTGGATGATGGTCCAAACACAGCCAGCGAGTTTTCAAGGCGTTACTTTGCAGCTCTCTGTAATCTGAGTCCATTTCCAATTTTTAGGATTTCGTGCATGTTAGTCTATAGAGGTCTCAAGAGATTTTGCCCTTCCATCAGTTGATGCGTTGGTGGGAAGCTTCTTTCTTCTCCTCCACCCCTTAATAAGAACACTCAGGCTAGCAAATACTGTGTACACTCAGCCTAAATAACTTGTGACTCATGAGGTCAAGCACAACCCACCAGCCATATATTGTGGTCTGCCAAGTACTAGCCAACTCTCTGCACTGTGTTTTTGCAAAATTCCAGACAGCAACTCAAAACAAGTGACTTGCCACAGGTCCAGAGGGCCAACATAGATGGATAATGAGCTGTGGTCAACTTGGTGGGTCACAACTACTGCAAATCCATTATAAACCATGCACTCGTAAGAATAAGTACCGTAGTTAATCGCCTGGTTTGCATGTCACATTATATTAACCATGAAATTAATCCATAAATCTTAATGTAAATATATATGTTAATATAGGGAGTCTATAGTTTACCTCTTCAGGACAAACCACAAGCTATAAATCAATAAAAAATATCTTGGTTATAGCTCATGGTTAGTCTGGAGATAGTTAAACCATGGGCCTGAGTTCAAGTGAGACTTTAAGTCAGTGATGGCCAGACTTGGCCCTCTAGCTGTTTTGGGAAAACAACTCCCATCATCCCTAGCTAACAGGACCCAGTGGTCAGGGATGGTGGGAATTGTAGTCCCAAAACAGCTGGAGGGCCAAGTTTGGCCATCACTGCTTTAAGCCAAGCTATGGCTTAACTCAGTGTGCTGCAATAGCAAAACAATCAGAGAGGAGCAGAGTGGCTGCATTTTCCTCCCTGGGAGCTCACATACTTGTGCATCCACACTAAGCCATGGATTGACTTAATTGTGATATGCAAATCAGACCTGTGTCTATAGTCTTCCTAGCCTTGACATTGCCACAGTCTTTAAATCAGTCTCTAAACACAGAATATTGTTTCTCCTTTTGCACAGCCAATCTATGCCTAAAGGAAAGGGTAGTATTTTTTTAAATGGAAAGTACTATGGCTTATGTGTATTGTCCTTTTTATATTGGCACAGATGCTTTCCTAAGTTGGAGCCAGATCAGAATATGTCTTTAAGAAAAGCAGGACTTTGTTGAGAAAAACTTGCTCAGTTTGGGTGTTGCTCTTAGCTTCAGCAAATAGATTTAGCCAAAGTAACCCCTGGTACTTATGTGATAAAGAAACCCAGCTGGTGTGGTATTGTCTAGATATAATGAGGGCATTTTTCATAGATTATACACTTCCTTTTCCAAGGCTAGCATTTTCTTTTGTAAATCAAATTTCTTGTTCTCCTGATGTCAGCTTTTCATATAAATACAGCAGAGGATTACTGTATAAAGATTAGTGTCTGATCTTGGACGAATATGTAGGTTGGAGCTAAACTGAGAATCCATAAATGTGTTTTCATCATATTTTAGATTTGGCCGATGTGTGTTGTGTTAATAAAGAGTTGGCAGTGTTGAGAAGCAAAAGTTGGTGGTGTATTGTGGTTGCTCCCTGTTCCTTGGTATTTGAAAACTGAAGTTTGAGATAGTTATAAATATGACATAACCAGCATTCATATGAAAAGCCTTGAGTTACAGTGCAATGCTATGCATGTTAAATCAGAAGTCAGCAGCAGTGAGTTCAATGGGGCTTTATTTCATATAAGTGTGTATATAAAATTGCATCTTAACTCACTCTCTTGCCAACTCTGTTTTTCTTGACAGAGACATCTCTAAAGTTATGGTCCATTGTAACCCTTTCATGTGGGAGGTATTCGGTTATTCTTATGGTTAGCTGAAGCTACCAAATTTACTGCGGGGAGAATGTGTTGTTCTTTACAGAATACATAACTAGTTGGATTAATTGCCACAAAAATGTTCTAACATTTGTCTAATTAAACAATCCACTGGCCTTTTAAACTCTGTGTGTATGGCGTATTGTTTTTATTTGTGATGCATTTTTGTGTGTGGTCTAAACCACTGAGCCTAGGGCTTGCCGATCAGAAGGTCGGCAGTTCGAATCTCCGTGACGGGGTGAGCTTGCATTGCTCATTCCCTGCTCCTGTCCACTTAGTAGTTCGAAAGCACATAAAGTGCATGGAGATAAATAGGTACTGCTCCGGCGGGAAGGTAAACGGCGTTCCGTGCACTGCTCTGGTTCACCATAAACGGCTTAGTCATGCTGGCCACATGACCTTGAAGCTGTACGCCAGCTCCCTTGGCCATTAAAGCGAGATGAGCGCTGCAAACCCAGAGTCATCTGCGACTGGACCTAATGGTCAGGGGTCCCTTTACCTAATTCAGTAAGACAGCTGGTAGGTTCAGTATTGGTTATTGTGTTGTTTACAATTTGCCTATCCTGAGTGAGAGAGGCAGTGGCTGCATTTCAAGGTAATGCTAAACTGTTGTTTAATGTTATATGAATGAGCCTACGTAGTTATTTCCTAGACTCGTACACTCTCTTCCCCTCCCTCCCCTCCCTACTGCACAGCCAGGAGTTGTAGTTCCAAAACTGATGCTTAACTGTGGTGTGTCCCTTTGTTTAAACCAACAAACTATGGTTAATGCTAGCTATGGTTAGTTTAAAAGAAGTTCGCTTCAAAACAAGGTTTCTGAAATGGTTTTGTGTACAAGCTGTCTTGCATTTAATGTTAATTGCTGTTTCTGGTTTGGGCAGACATTGGTTTAAGTGAAAGTGGTGGCAAAAGTTTTCAAACATCTGTCAACTCCAAAGATAGCACCTCTGGAGCTTAGCTCCACAGATATCATTATAGTGCCTGTAATAGAAGATGGAATGATCAAAATAGATTGACATTTAGGAATCGTATAAATTTAGAAAGAAAATGGATTGTTTCGTTAGCAATTTTTGAACCAGATGAAAACATTTCAAAAAGTTGGTAAGTGGCCCACAATCCTCATGCTCTTCTCAGAGTGGCTCTGCAGGAATTCTGCTTGCTGACTTTGCTTTCCTGGGGCTGAACCAATTAAGTGAATCCTCTTGTGTGCTGGCTTAAGTAGAGGTCTGCTTCCTTTATGGGTGATTCTCTGCCGTTAATTTTTCTTTTTTCTTTTAAAGAAAGAAGAACCAGGCCTCACCTTGAATTTTGTTACTGCCCAACCAATTAAAAACACACTTTTACATGATTTGCTCTTTGCACTATATTTAAATTTAAGGACTTTTCATTACCAAAATGATGGAATAATACAGCATCAAGGAGTGACAGCATATGCTTTATTGTCTCATTACTGTACAATCAAGTAGGGCTGTGAAGCTTCCCCAGGCATGTATTAATAGGCCCATAAAATCACTCCGGAGTATTTTCAATAATAATAATGACCATTATATTTTTTGTGAAGCTAAGAGAATGCATTTTTCTTCCTGTGTATCCCTTGCCTTTAAACGTCACCATTCCCCCCACAAAGCAAAAACCCACCCACCCCTTTTATTACGTTGTAGCATGGGTTGGCAATGTGGTGCCCCTGGGTACACATGTGCCCTCAGAGGCCTTCCCTGGTGCCCTCAGGCTCTCATTTCCCTCACTTGAAAGAAAGCTTTTTTAGCCAATAGAAGACTTATTTTCAAGCCCGATTGCAGTATGGGGTCAAATACAGGATGCTTACAGCTCGGAGAAGGGAGCGCTGCGGCATGTATGTGGTGCCCACAACAGTTGGAATTGGAAATGTGCCCACAGGCTCAGAAAGCTTAGTTACACATACCTCAGAGTATTTATGGAAGAGAAGAATGTTAGCATTCCCAGAGGAGTTGGCTCTTCTTGCAGACACAGTGGAGAGATAGAAATCAGAAAGTTGTTGATAACTGTGTTACTCTTAACCCTTGCTACATGACATAACAGTCTTCTGTTCCTCTCTCTGAAACATGCAGGTTGTTATGCTGGAGAGAGATTTAAAGGGAGTCAAAGGTGGCATGATGGAACCATTTTTTAATCATGATGCATATCCACATTCCCTTATATCATGATTGTTTTGTAGGGAAGGCACTAAATAAACCTCTTTGCAATAGAGATATGTACAGAAAGAGTGCACAACATGACTATGAGCGACACTGCTAGTTCGGTACCATATTTAACATTTGTTGTTCTTATTATTTTTTTTAAAAAGCCTGTCTCCAGCCTCAGGGTTCCTCAGCAAGAATCATAATGTTATTTACTTACTATGCATTTATTTTTTTAAATGTTCTCTGGGTGTCATGCTGGAATATGGAGAGTTCTGTTCACATGCTTCTCATGCGCTGGAATGCCTTAATGAAGAATGCTGCAAATTTCTTTTTTTAGGAGCCATGACTAATTTTAGGTTCAAATACTAGGTTTTCTAACACAAATCCTCCACACGAGGGTTGGATAATGACGCAAAGTCTCAAAAGGGGAAGAAAAGTTTGCCTGAAAGGCTTCTGCTGAATCCCATAAGGTGGGAATGTGTTGTTTTAGAGTCCTGTTGCCATGTTCCTTCAGAGACTGAGATTACAATGTTGGATAAAATAATCATTTTTTATTAGCTCTGTGTGTGTCGTTGAGGGTGTACAAGCTTTCCAGTTTCTTCCTTTGTCAAATTCGCTTCCCATCATATCTGCCTTGATTTGAACTGTATCAAAATTTAAATGTGGGAACTGTGTATTACCAGGTTCTTGTTTTTATGGCCATGGCTAGGTTCTGTAGAATTACGTCAAACCGCTGTTTATGCAAATAGCTAGGAAGAAACATGGTCAGAGGGAAAAGTATGAAACTGAAGTGGCAATCCCTAATGACAGTGCTAACAGTTTCAGAGTAATTGGGTCACCGGGCAACAGAGCTCATTTGGGATATGGAGGCCTAATTGTCTGAATCTTGCCTGAGGAAATCTTAACTGTTCTTTTGTGACATAATTTTCCTGATCTCTCTCTCTCCCTCTCTCTCTCTCTCTCTCTCACCCCCCCCCCCACCCACAGACTCTCTCTCTTTGCAGTTTGAGCACAAAGTTCTTCAATATTTCTGTTCTGAATACTGGTAGCAAAAGCTGTCGGCTAATACTCTCCATTTTTTCACATATTCCTCCCCTCATCTCCAGTTCTGAAAATTCTGAAGTCTCAAATGCAAACCAGGGAACAATCCCTGTGGTGAAGAGAGAACTCTGCCTTCCTAGTCACCCTGTGTGCTCAGTAGGTTGTGGACCTCAGGAAATGGAGTGTGGCTGCTTTCAAGAACAGCATGAAAATGTTGACAGTAAAAGCAGAAAGATGAAAATGACACAGCCCACCTTCCATTTTCCTCTGCTTCTGAAAGCTGGCAAAGTGTCCCCCCACCCCATGTCAAGAAGACCAAGGCTGGTGATGCATCCCAGTGATGCAAGGAACTGTGACTGACCGTGCTTTCCTAATGGCTCTATTAACACTTACTGCCTCAGCTTTATCTGAAAAGTGCCCTGTGAAGCGTTGCATGAACAGAGGCAGAAAGCACTTCATGGGGAAGTGTAATCCATTTATGAAAATACATATCCTTCTAGGAGGAGGCAAATGGAAGGTACATCAGTAGTTCAAGTGTAACCAAGGAAAGGCCTTGTATATTTTTTTAATACTGGAGTTATCTGAAAATTCTTTGCAGATTTAAGAAAAGCCCAAACGTTTTCTAACGTGAGCAGAAGTACTGTAGCTTGTGTAAATGAACACAGTTTAACAGCGCAATGCCTTCCTGAAGTAAGTTTCATTGTGCCTACTGACCAGGGAAAGCTCAGTCGGTAGAGCATGAGACTCTTCATCTCAGGGTTGTGGTTCGAGCCCTACATTGGGCAAAAGATTCCTGCATTACAAAGGGTTGGACTAGATGACCCTTGTCCCTTCCAACTCTACAATTCTATGATGCTATGATTCTATACCGGCCCATCTTCCTGGTATGTGCATTTGGGATCATAGTCTTATTTTGCAATACCAAACATACTTAAAGAGTAACCCTGTTTATGCTTACAGTGGTACCTCTGGTTGCAATCAGGATCCGTTCCAGAGCCCCATTCTCAGCCTGAGTAGAACGCAACCCGAGTCTGCATGTGCGTGGGTCACAATTCGCCATTTCTGCGCATGCGCGTGATGTCATTTTGAGCGTTTGCACATGCGGGAGCAGTGAAACCTGGAAGTAACCCTTTCCGGTACTTCCGGGTCGGCATGGGACGCAACCTGAAAAGATTTAACCCGAAGCGTCTTTAACCCGAGGTATGACTGTATTCAGAAGCAAGTCCCAGTGAGTTCAGTGGATGTGCACAGGATTGCAGAGAGCAGCCTTCAATTCCCTGCATTGTTTAACACAGGAGTTACCAAACTGTGGTCCATGGAGCATCAATGGCGTGTGAGATTCATTCAGGTGCTCTGCCATGTGCCTACGGATTTGTGATTGAAGAGCGGTAGACAGCATTTCAATTGCATTAAATAGCCAGATAGATATTTAATTGTGTTTTTATTGCTTTTCTTTCTTATATTGATTTTTATTGTATTACACTTTGAATTCTGTGGAATTCAAATTGTAATATAACAAAATACAATATATAATAAATAAAAGAAGCAATAAAAATACAACTAAAACCCATGCCGCATCTAGAGTAGCACATTACAATTGCTACATTATTAGTCTGCCAGGATCTTCAGCAATTTTGAATAGTTCTGTGGTGGAAGGGGGGCTGGGCTTGGGAAGCACTGGTTTAATAAATGTTGTAAGCTACTTTTTGAACTCTGTAAGGATGTTAGGCAGAAACTTAATAAATAATCAAATTATTTTCCTCTTTTTACGACTATCAAAGGCAGAATATATTAGGTGGAATACTCAAGTAGACGCAGGTGGGAATGTATGTAAGAATTTGGGTTAATTCTGCACCATTTTAAAGTACACATAAGTGCAAATATACACAGTCCTTCCTGAAGTAGCTGCTGCCTTTTAGTTTTCATTGTTTTATGATGGTTTATGTTTTGCTTTTATTGTATTTTATGATTGCTATTATTGCTGTATGTTACCCTGGGATCTGTTCCGATGACGGATGGTTTAGAAAAATTTAAAATTACACCAGTGATAACACTAAAAACACATCCACCCCCGTAAAAGCTCCAAGATCCAATAAATAAATATAACTAAAACCATTTCATAAATTCAGTAACTCAATAAAAACCTGTTTAAGAGAATCAACAGTGAACAACTCTTTTTACAGTCTGCGGAGATGGGGCCATGATGTACCCACATTTGCAAAACAATCCACAAATGGGAGGCACCTTCTGGGGGGTGGGGAACACTCTTGCTTCTGCCTTAAGGCTTCTGCAAACTTAAGGCTTGTACACACCTTAACAATGAGCACAGCTACAACCTGTCTCTACACATGTATAAGTGTTTGCATGAAAATCTGTACACTTGTTGATCCGTGAAGCTCAATTACTTGCGAGCATAGGAGCACAGGTTGTGCACTCATTGAATGTAACTTGTGAACACCCCTTCTGTTGTTCTCAGAGGCACAAAACTGTGAACAAGGCTTGTACGGATGGTCTCAAAGTGCAGCCCACAGCTTTATGGGCTTTTCAAGGGAGGTGGTTCAAAGTTGATTTAAGTAGCTTTGAAAGGGAGGGGAGGTTTAAAAGTCTACCCGACAGCTCCCAAAGTCTTTTACTGATAAAAGTTGGCAGATATTTTCATAGGTTGAGCCTTTTTATCAGGGTAATTTGATCATTAGAGCTCCTACTCATGCAGCAGAGACTCAGTTGAGACTTGACCCGGCGCCATCTTCTCTGCTACTCGGATGGTCTCAAAGTGCAGGCGGGCGAAGAACCTCCGTGCCAAACTACTTCGTCTTCTTCCTTTTCTTCTTCCATGTGGATGTCTGCATGGAAGGGCTCCTTGCTTTGGACAGTTGCCCCCAGTAGGATAAACCATCATGCTTGCCCTCGGTGCCTCTTTCAAGTGTTTACAACTCCTGAAAAGGGCTTGAGAGAAAATTGGATGTTTTTCAGTTGTAATGGGGGCATATAGCCACATTTGCCCTCATAGCCCTTATTTCACAGTGGGTCCTCTTGTCTCTCTTCCCAATCCCTGCTAATAGAAATGGTGTATATCTGTTCAGTTTGCAGCATTGATAACCAAGAGTAGAGCAGAGTAGCTCACCCAGCCTTGGTTGAACACCCCTTTCAGCAGAGGCATTGTTGAGGAGTTCCTTCCTTCAAAACCATAGCAATATGCCAAGTCTTTGGGTTCTGCTTGTGAATAGTAGCAGCTGCCATTTTGGCATATACCTTTCCAGATTGGTGGGCACCTCTGTTTCACTTCCCAGTTTGCACTATGGGAGCTCATTCATCAGTATGCTTAACCTCCACACACAAACAAAACAGATTATTTAGTGGTTGCTCTCTCATAATTGCTTTCCTTTTGAACACAACCTTTCCCATGCAAGTCACAAAAGGACGTAATGGAACATAATAGGTGTCGTTCTCTGTCTGAAAATGCAGCAGGAAGTGGTTTAATTTAGCCGATGTCGTTTCTTTGAAGTGTAATGGCAGGTTCAAAGAGTTGCAGCAAAGGAAGTTTAAGGCAGCATATGTTTTGAAACTCCGGCTTCAAATATCCATAATTAATACCACATTAAAAAAAGAGGCTTGTGGCTAAAACTTCCTTCTGGAGTCTCTGAAAGAACAGATAATGAAGTTCAAAGCCTGACTTTAATTTATATTTTTTAACTACTAGAATGCCTCTCCAGTCCCCATGGATTCTCTGAGTTTATATTTATGCTTATAATGGGTTTCACCTGCTACTTCCATTTCCTGATTTATTATATGTTTTATCTCAAGATGATAAAACAGATGAGCTGTTCCCATCTTTGCTATGTTCTTGTCATCCGATTCAGAATGAGGAGTCTGAATAAAGTCCTCCTGGAGATACTCTCTTAGAAGAATCCTATTATATGGAAGCCTCTTTAGCATCTGGAGTAGATCAGTTTTCACATTTAGAAGGCTGGAGAAACTGCACTCATTAGCAGGAAATCAAATTACGGTTACTTAGAAACTGCTGCTTGACAGGTGTAAAGAGATTTTGCACTTACCAAAATGTTAGAGACTTCAGAACTTCAGTCAACATGATTCAAAGAGCCCAAACTAGTTCTGATTCAGCAATAAACAGGATAATTTATGGATTTTCTTTTCCATATAGATCAAATATGAAATGCACTTAACCTTTGCATCATCTTTCTTGTCTGCTGAATTTCAGAGCTTCTTTCATGACAAGATTCTTTGCAAAACTAATGCAAGCAGGCATGCCTTCAGCTTAAATCAGAAATCCCAATGCTGCAAAATGCCAGTTGTGAATTCATTCCTGACTTACAGTGTTTGGTACAGAAAGCCACACATCTCAGTTCCCTCTCTCTCCCTTCCTCTTCTTCTCTCCTGTGGTCCTGTCACTTGCTGACTCACCACCAAGCTGTGCCATCCTCCTTTCTTCTGCCCTCTGCTCCCCGCCATAGTCACTCAAGTCTCCTCCCACCTTGCCGGACCTCCACACTGCCCTGCTTTCTCCTCCACATTGCCCCCAGTCAGTCTGTTCTCCTACCACCCATCTCTCCACATTCCTTTCGCCTACAACAATTAGTGGCTGGCAGTTCTTTCTTTCTTTACATTTTTACGGGATGTCTGGGTCCACTGTAAAGCAAAGACCACCAAGGCTCCAGCTGTCTACCGTCTTCATCTTACACCAGTGCCTCTGGGCCCAGATGGAATTGCTACTAGCAGATTTGGTGTAGCATTGTGGGTATTTTGCTAGTACTTTTCAAGTACTCAAAATGGTTCATGTACATTTTCTCAGCAATCCTGTCAAAAGCCCTCAACGGGTAAGATTTGACCTTGTGGCTTACACATATTTACACCGAAAGCATGGCCTGGCATCTTCCTTTCAATACTAAAAAAATATTAAAATAAACATCAGCTAAATTCCACTCCTTTATTAATTTCTAACATTCAATAATTATGAGTGCCTTTGCACTTCCAAGCTCTGTTACCCTAGATCTGTAACAGAAATAATAAAAAGAAATTGTAGTTTTCTAGAAGTGACTCAGCCAGAGAGAGAAAGAGACTTTTCTAAACCCACAGGTTTCTCTGGAAATCTGGTGTTAGGAAAGCAGTAGCTCTTTGCCCCGCCTATGCTGTCCTTGTATATTTGAAAATAAACCAAGTATTGCAAGAACAATGTGTCTCCAGTTCTCCACCAAAGGAAGCCAAACCCCAAAACCATTTTTCCTGCTGGAGGAAGTGAGACATGTGCAAGGGGGAAGGAGAAGGAGCTGCCCAGCCGTGTGGTGGTTTAAATAGTGTAAACCATGCCCCCCGGTCGACTGGATTGGTTGGCCGTGGGGTGTGACGTGGCTGAGACTCCCCAGTGATGCAGGTGGCATTGCCAGCCTCCCCACTGTACATGTGGCCTGCCTGAAACCCTGCCACCCTGGGCAGGGGAGCGGCCCTGCTGAAGAAAGGCAGTGACATTGCAAAATGTCAGAACACTACCGCTCAGTGTATTGTTTCTACAGCTACCATTGTAACATAGTGAACAATGCAAAGCTAAAAAACAGCAGGCAGGGAAGCATGTGCAGTAGATGTGTCTGAGTTTTGTATATGAGCAGGTTGCACACTCAAGAAGCTTGATGGGTAGCCTTGGACAAATTCTCGTTATTGACTCGCTCTGCCTTCCGGGGTGGCTGTAAGGATAAAACGTGATGGAGGCACTGTAATCCCCACTTAATACTTGGGATAGGGCAAGAGGGAAATCTTAAAAAGAGTTGACTTAAAGGAACTAATTCATGACTTCATCCCATTGATTACAGTCTAACCCTTAGACATCCATATTCCATTGAAAACAAACCTGTTAAGTTGTGGGAGAACATGTCAGACGACACAGCGATTCTTTAAACAGCTCTTCTTTATTCAGATGCCAGAACAGAACTAGGCTGAGGAGCTCAGTCAGCCTGCTTATATAGAGCTCCAGAACAATGCAACTGTTGCCATTTTCTAAAACTATCCAATCACTGAACGTCACTTTTCGATCCTTCATTTGCATACAAAACTATCCAATCACTGAATGTCACTTTTCGATCCTTCATTTGCATAACTATCTACAGTATCCCCCTGCTGGCCCAGGGTGAGAACTTCAGTACATAACACCCCTCCCCACCGAGATAAGGCGTTAGTTACAATCGTAATGGTTTCCTTATATACAGCACTACATGTAATGGTTCAATTAGGCACAAAAGCATATCGGTTACATTTCACATACTTAGACCAACAGTGATACATGTCCAACAACATAGTCCTTTAAATAAGTTGGGCGCTTGGAAACTCTGTCAGACCGCCGGGGACTGGTAGCCAAGTCCGGGGGGCCACACAATTCTTGCTGAGGCTGTGGTGCGACCCTAGGTGGCGTTGAAACCAAATCCCCTGGATCCACTGCTGTGGGTGGAGCCTCCGCAAGTGGAGTGGTCTGAGCCTGTGGTAAGTCTGGCAGACCCTCTGGAGTGGCTTGGTTCGGCTCCACGCTGGCAGTTTGCGAGGGAGGTGTAGGTGGAGCCTCGCCATCTGTAAGTGTCTCTTCCGGAGCCACGAGCGCAGTTGGGGGCACCACGGTAGTGTCCAAGTCCCCAACCCTGCGCCTAAGCTGGTCTATGTGCCGGCGCCACAAGCGTCCGTCTTCGAGTGCCACCTGGTACGAGCGAGGTCCAGTGACTCCCACTACTGTGGCTGGCACCCAAGGAATGTCCCCCACATAGTTCCGGGCAAAGACCTGGTTTCCTGAAACAAATGACCGTGGCGCGTTGGCACAGCCTGGGGGTTCGGCCACGGCAAAGTCCGGGTGCAGCCGGTCGAGCGGTGATCTGAGGCGGCGGCCCATAAGCAGTTCAGCAGGACTCCGCCCTGTGGCCGCATGAGGGGTGATGTGTTGCACGAACAAGTATTCGGTGACCCGCTCGTGCCAGTCTCCCTGGTCCAGGCGCGCCAGTGCCTCTTTTGCCGAGCGCACCATTCTCTCCGCTTGCCCGTTGCTGGATGGATGAAATGGTGCCGTTAGGGCATGGCGGATGCCCAGTCCCAAAAGATACCGCTCAAAAGTGCCTGACGTGAACTGCGGTCCGTTGTCGGAGACAAGGACATCAGGACACCCATGCGTCGCAAACAGGCCTCGCAGCACCCGGATGACGGCCTCGGTAGTGGTGGAGGGCATCAGGGCCACCTCCAGCCATTTGGAATAGGCGTCCACCACTACCATAAAGGTCTGGCCGTGAAAGGGGCCAGCCAGATCGATGTGCACCCTCCACCAGGGTGTCTTTGGCGTCTCCCAGGTGTGTCCCTTAGCTGCCGGTGGTGCAGGCCTCGATTCTTGGCACGCTTGACAGGCGGACACCCAGGCAGTGATGGCATCGTCCATGTTAGGCCACCAGACGTAACACCGAGCCAACGCCTTCATTTTGACGATTCCTGGGTGGCCAACGTGCAGAGCCTCCAGGACGCGTTGATGGAGTCTTTGGGGAATCACGACGTAGTCTCCCCACAGCAGACAGCCGCGATGAGCTGAGAGTTCATGTTGTCTGGTTGCAAACGGTTGGAACTCCGATGCAAACGGCCCTTGTGGCCACCCCCTCCACACCCAGTTGAGCATACGGCTGATGGTGCGATCCTGGGCAGATGGGGAGGCCACAGTGGCAGCCAATACAGGCGCTGCTGGAAGATCCTCAATCAGGAGGAGCGATGAAGCTGGGGGCCGGGTCTTCCACAAACGCTGGAAGAGGGCAACGGCTGAGGGCGTCGGCATGGCCCATCCATTTCCCCGGGCGATGGATGAGCCGGTAGTGGTAGGCAGCCAGGAAAACAGTCCATCGCAGCATGCACGGCGAGAGGACCGGTGGAGTTGGACGATCACCGGCGAGGAGGCCCAGGAGCGGCTTGTGGTCAGTGATGAGGTCAAAAGTCCTGCCATAGAGGTATTCATGGAACCTCTTCACTCCAGCCACAAGTGCCAGTGCCTCCTTGTCGAGCTGGCTGTAATTCCGTTCAGTCAGAGATAGTGTCCTGGAAAAGTAAGCGAGCAGTGCTTCTCTTCCGTCTGGAAAACGGTGACTAAAGACAGTGCCGATGCCAAAAGGTGAGGCGTCGCAGGCAAGGACCAGCGGCCTGGCTTCACTGTACTGTACCAGCACACTTTCCGATGAAAGGAGAGCCTTGATCGCGTTGAAGGCCGCCGTCTCCCGATGACCACAGGACCAAGGCGTCTTTGTGCTGAGGAGTCGGTGAAGAGGCTCAGCCACCGTGGATTTGTGGGGCAGGAACATGTTATAAAAGTTCAGCAGCCCCAGGAACGCCTGCAATTCTGTCTTGTTCTTTGGGATGGGTGCCTGCTGGATAGCGCGGATCTTGGATGTGGTCGGGTGAAGGCCGGAGGCGTCGATAAGATAGCCCAGGAATTCTACCTGTGGAACGGCGATCTGGCACTTCTCCCTCTTTACCTTGAGCCCGGCCTCTTGGAATCTGGTCAGCACAGCACGAAGGCGCTCGAACAGCTGCTGGTGTGAGTCTGCGGACACCAAGACGTCATCAAAATATGGTACCACGCCCGGAAGCCCTTGCAGGAGACGCTCCATAAGGCTTTGGAAGATGCCAGGAGCCACACTCACCCCGAACTGCAATCGGCGGCAACGGAATGCCCCTCGGTGGGTGACGATCGTCTGGGCTTCAGCAGTGGCATCATCGACGGGCAGTTGTTGATAGGCTTGGGCAAGGTCCAGCTTAGCGAAGACCTTACCCTCACCCAGGGAATGCAGCAGGTGTTGGACAACAGGAACCGGATAAGCGTGCTGCTGAAGTGCCTTGTTGATCGTGCACTTGTAGTCAGCGCAGATTCTCACCGACCCGTCTGGCTTGACAGGCGTGACGATGGGGGTTTCCCACTTGGCGTGGTCAACCGGCTCCAAAACTCCTTGGGCGATCAGCTTGTCCAGTTGTTCGTCCACCTTAGCCTTGAGAGCAAAGGGAACCTGGTGTGGCTTTAGCTTGATGGGGGCGACTTGTGGATCAAGGCTAAAGGAGATGGGCGTACCTGTATATTGCCCCAAAGTGCCGTCAAAAACCTCGGCAAAGTCTTTGACCAGACTCTCAGTCTCTGCGTTAGAGATGCAGTTGATGCCGGTGACTTCCAGGCCGAGGGCATCAAACCAGTCTAGCCCTAGGAGGCTTGGCCGCTGACCTTCGACCACCACCAGTCTGAGCAGGCCCGAAAAATCCTTGAAGGCGATCCAGAACCGGCCAACGCCTACCACGGGAATGTCGTTTCCCTGGTAGTCTCTCAGGTGTACGCGGTGAGAATCGAGTTGCCTTTTGGACACTCTGGGTACCAGTCTTTTGATGGTGCTCCAAGACACGATGGACAGGGCAGACCCGGTGTCGATCTCCATGTCACATGGAGCTCCTTCAATGAGCACCGTGACGTTCAGCTTGCGTCGCGTAGGCGAGTCGGTTTGGCCAATCGTGGTTCCAGACAGGCAGCAGCAGTTGGTGAGAGCGAAACAGCTTTCCTTGGCAGACTGGAGTGAAGACTTGGACTTGCAAGTCGGTGAAGGGGGGGTGTCAGACGGAGCCGATCGGCAGACCTTAGCGATGTGGCCCCTTCTGGAACACGTCCGACAGATGGCGTCTCTGAATCGACACTTGGCACGGGAATGGTTGCCTCCACTGCCGGCGCATTCCGGTTGGCCCTTGGACTTCTGTTGGAACTTCCTGCGCTCCCGCTTTGTCTGGTGCACATCATTGTCTTCACTGGAGGATGCCTCATCACTGCTGGCCTCTTCGTGATGCACTGGAACTGGCTCCCTAGCAAGACGCGGGCTGCTGGCCTTGCGGATCTCCTGGGTGGAGCGTTCAGCAGCTTCCGAGGCCACAGCCTCCTCAATGGCTTTCTGCAGCGTGAGGTCTGGCTTGGCAAGGAGACGCCGTTGCAGATGGATGTCCCGGACCCCGCAGGCGATTTGATCCATCAGGGCATCGTCTAAGTCTCGGAACTCGCAGTGCATTGCAGCCTGTCGCAGGGCGGTGGTGTAGTTGTTGATTGACTCCCCCTCTGCCTGGTTCCGGTGGTAAAACGCATGGCGGGCAGCAATCTTGGACGGCTTTGGTGCGTAGTGGTTGCGGAGCTTCTCTTGGATCGTGTCCCACGGTGTTGCCTGGACTGCTTCAGGCGCAACCAATGCTCGGGCCGTCTCAAACACCTCAGGCCCACAGAGGCTGAGGAATAGGCCCCGCTTCCGCTCCTTTGATACTTCTGTCAGCTCGTTGGCTTGGAGGTAGCAGTCAAACCGAGCGAGGTAGGAGTCCCATGATTCAGAGGCTGGCGCAAACGGCGGTAGAGGCACAAGTGAAGCCATGATTCTGATGCCGGCGAGAAGGGCAATGGATGGAACACCGTGCTCTAGCCAGAACAGTCAGCTCTGAATTGGTTCTGTTCAGTGATTTTGCTCAGTGATTCAGCTCAGTGATTCAGCTCTGCTCAGAGGGTGGCTGCATCTGGCTGTGCTCTGATGTCCATCGATCCCATCCTCGTCGCCAGTGTTAAGTTGTGGGCGAACATGTCAGACGACACAGCAATTCTTTAAACAGCTCTTTCTTTATTCAGATGCCAGAACAGAACTAGGCTGAGGAGCTCAGTCAGCCTGCTTATATAGAGCTCCAGAACAATGCAACTGTTGCCATTTTCTAAAACTATCCAATCACTGAATGTCACTTTTCGATCCTTCATTTGCATAACTATCTACAGTATCCCCCTGCTGGCCCAGGGTGAGAACTTCAGTACATAACAAAACCAATCCTAAACATTAGCAGGCAAAACTTATCCTACCCCCATCATGAATCTTATAAAACTGCTTGAAACTGCAGCCAAACTTCTGCTCCACAATTCCAAGTAGATGTGATTATTTTGGAGCCAGGGAAAAGCTGGTAGGAGTTTGTGAGCTCAAATCTCTGAATTAATATGCTGTTCTGGTTGCTGGTCATGAAGCTGACAAATCCCTCAGCTGCTTCTCTCTCTGGAATGGAGCGATGGAACCTTGTGAGTGCAAGAGAAAAACTTTTCCAGAATCAGTTCGCTGATTTGCAGTCATTTGCTGCTCTGATTTTCCCCAGGGCTCTCTTCAAAGTCCATATTCAGGTTGATTAAATTTCTCATAGAGAGAATATGACTTTGTGAAATTATACAACAGGGAGTTGGCATGAGGGAGGTGTGTAGCTCATTACCGACAGACCATTTCCATGATGTTTCTTAAATATTAAGCAATGAATAAGGAAATGCCTGATGCGTAAGATCTGTATTAGGACTGAACTAGGGTGATTGGATCCAGCAGTCTGTTCCTGCTGGAAGCTGTGCTTACGAGCTCTGAGAAGTCTGAGGCAATGTTATTTCATCCTTAAATAATTCTGGTTCAGCTTTTGCAAGTATATGTTTAAGCCCTGTTGAGTTTTGCCTGTAAGGCATGTTATACCAGAGCCAGTCGAAAGCCATTTTATACTGGAAACAACAACAGACTTGACTGGCACCTTCAGATATCTGCTGGCACATTTCTCACATATCATGTCTGTTTGTTGTCTTATAGCTGTCATATATGCCTAAGTGAATGGACCTTTTCTGATCACGGCAAGACTTGTGCTTGAAACTAAGTGTATATGGAAAATATGTGAGTTGTGCTAGCCAATCTCACATAAATAAATCCACAGAATTCCAACTGAATTCTCATTTGGAAAAATGTGTACTTCAGTCCTGTGTAGATCAATCATAAACATGTTTACTCAGAGTAAGTCTCATTCAGTTCAGTGGGATTTACTCCTCAGCTTTTATGTTTAGCATCGCAGCCTAAGTTGCTGAGAGGGTACTTTAGGACAGAAGTCCAACGGTGATTTAAATGTTTTAATATTGAACCTCTACTCTTAGTCTACCTCAATGGAGATCTGAGCCCAGTGCAGTGATGGAAAAATCTACCCATCACAGTGCTGAGATGAAAGGAGAGGTTTAAACCTTTTTTCTGTACTGAGTGCTGTGATAGAGCAATTTTCCTTTTCTTGACAGCACTGCCCTGGGAGGAGAGGAATTCCTCCTCTCAGTCCAGGGCTGAAAGATTGGGGGAGTACCTTCTCTCAGCCCAGGTTAAAACATCGGGGCAGTACCAATGCAAACAAAACTGATTTTGAATATAAATATATCAAGTTTATTTATTTATTCTAATTGTATGATTAAAATTCAATACAGTATTTTGTCATATACTTTCATTTTAAGCTATTAATTTTCATAACCATCAGTGATTAGTAATGAAAAACCAATAGCATTATTAATAGCTTTATTAATAAAATTGGGTACAATAATGTCATAGTTGCACCTGATGTCTAGGTAAACAGTTTTATTGGGCAAACGCTATACTGTATATCTGACAGAATTGATAATATACTATATTGTTATGGGAGCCAGAAACTAGCAGGTCATCATAAGACACTTGGATCTAGCCCCTGACTCCAGGAGAGGCTATTCTGAATATCACTACAAAGATCATCAGTTGTGATCTTCTGGGTGATCTTACATACCTCCATTCTTATGCTCTTCTTTTTTTAAAAAAAATAATATTTATTGAGAATTTTAAGATTACAAAGAAACAAAGAAAAAAAAGAAGGAAAAAACAAGTAGCATTTAAACAATACGAATCAATAAAAAAAACAACGTCAAAAAGAGAAAAACAAAACACATAATACATCAAAATCAAAAAGCAAAAAATAGACAAAAATTTAAAAACAAATCCAATATTCCCAAATCATTAACTGTCATTACCTTGTTTCATCGACCTCCTCACACCTCCCTTTTTTGTATTCTAGTTGTTAATTATCTCAGCAAATCCTTTCCATCTTTCATAATATTCTGTCATTAAATTACCTTAATCTATTTTAACCTTATTTTACCATAAAATCTTACCATTCTTATGCTCTTCAACTACCTGACCCCAGAAATTTGCTCAATTCTGTTTATGAATCACTTTACTCACTGTTAAGGACAGCCTAGGCAATATTGAGTGCAATCTGTGCATGTCTTCTCAGACAAATGTCCCAATGAATTCAGTGGGACTTACTCTCATGTAAGCGGATAGAGCTGCATTGTTAGAGGACTATTGTAAATGTGAATAGTATAGTTAAACTGGCCAGTTTAACTATTTGGATAACTAGCCAGTTAAAAGGCCAGTACAGTAATTGCCACATTGAGAACTAGGACTGCTCTCTTCTGCTTCATGGGCATTCCCTTACAGGTCTATAAGCAAGATTTCCTTTTGAAATGCTCTTTTATCATTTCATGGTAATAATAATCAGTATATGTTTAGGGAAGTTTTTTAATGACTGGTGTTTTAATGTATTTTTAATCTCCTGTTGGAAGCCACCCAGAGTGGCTGGGGAGAACCTGCCGGATGGGTGGGGTATAAGTCATAAATTATTATTATTATTATTATTGGTAACATTTATAACTCTTTAGTTTAACAGACATATTGCTGTGTGTGAGAGAAATGTCTATTTAACATTTCTAATGCATTGCAAGTTGACGTATAATAAGCAAAGTTATGTGATAAATATGCAGTGGTCTATGTACCTTGAAGCAGAATTCTGGTAAGATGGAAGTTAAACAGGTGAATGGTTTTGGGAAATAGATGAATTGCCTGTTCTGGATGGAGTTGCACTCCCTGTCTGAAGGAGCAGACACATAGTCTTCAGATACTTTTAGATCCATATTGTTGCTGGAGGAAAAATGGAAACAGTGGCTAGGAGTGACTTTTACCAGCTTCAGCAGGGATATCAACTCTTCCTAGATGGGGATAAACTGGCCACAGTGATCCACACACTCATAATCTTGAGATTGGATTACTGCAGTGCTCTCTGTGTTGGGCTGCCCTTAAGCTTGGCTTGGAAGCTGCTTCCTGGCAGCTAGCTGCAGCCTGTTGAATCAGGCCGTCCAAGAACTATTTGTTCGGATTAGCTGACAGCTGTAGAACAGTGAGCTGACAAAGAGAGTTATGGTGGCTGTCATGTTGGAACTTGGGTTCCCATCTCTGATTAGCCATCTGGGATGACTGCAATGCTCTGCAGCGTTACCTGGGAGTAAGCACCATTGAACTCAGTGATGTTTACTTTTGACTGCAGAGGTTCATTTGGTAGAACACAATGTACTTTCACTAAAGATCTTCAGCTAGCTGAAAGCCTTTTGCTTTTAATTAGAACTGCTAGCCTGAAAAAAGTGCAGGAGCTGCTCTGTTCACCACCATTTCTGGTCCACCACACCACCAATGTTCATCAGCACCCACACCAGCCGGGCCTATCTCTACATCCTTGCTCAAAGCCGGATGGTGGTGGTGCTGATTTTAGGTCCTGAATGGCATTCCCCTCTTCCTTATATTTCCCCCCCTGTAAAGTCTCTTCTACCTGCTGTCATGTGAATGTAATTCAAGATTATCAGCCCAGGATATTTTGCTGCTAGTGGCAGAGCAGCAGATGTCACCTTACCTCCTAAATCACTGTATATAGTATCTAAAGCTGGTAAAATGATTTGGCAATGGAGGCAAAAAACCCCCACAACTGCCTCTCTTCCTTGGCACTACAAGTGCAATTCCAATAAATAAAGTAATTTAACCATTTGTCGCCATTTCGTGGCATCCAAAATTAGCTGCATGAGGCTGCCGTCTCACTGTCTAATAGTTGGGCCAGTTCTCTCTGGCTCCACGTTCCCACAGGAGGACAGGACTTGACTTAGTTCAGCTTGCCTGCCGTATATCAAACTGTATGGAGAGGCCAATTTGAAATGGCACAGCATCAACACGAACACGTTCCCAGGTTCAGGCCTTGGGAAGTCCATGTGGGGCAAGGACAAATTCCCTGTCTCAACTCCTGAAGAGCCACTGCCAGATAGTCTATAATAGATAACCCTGAGCTAGATGGGCCATTGATCAGATTTGGTACAGGGCAACTTCCTAGTGTTAACAGTTGCATACAGGATTTGGATATGGCAGAGGGAATGGTGTCGCAATGTCCTCACAGTGCACATATGTACATACCAAGCAGAGTAGTACCTGCCAGTGCCCTAATCCCTTTTTCCGATAGATGCCTGCTCTCAGTACAGGAAACACGGCAATAAAGTAGTCGCTGTACAAGCATCCACAGTAATCATTTGGAGAGAGATGTCTTCAAGCTACTTAGCTTCGCTAAGAAATATGAGAAAAACATACTTTTTGCATGCTGTTGAATCTAAATAGATCTCCAGTTGTCACAACTTGATGAGTCCCCCCTCCCCAAAATCTTGCCTGACTCAGTTCTGAAGATGCTGACTCAGTATAAAGATGTTTACTTTGCTGCCTAAAAAAGAAGCAGATAGCTTACTCATCTCAGATGTCATCGTATTTTTTTTTTAAAAAACCCCACCTGAAACCAGAACAAATGACAATACATGCCAGTACTTCCATTTGACCATTAGCCCTCCAACTCAGTCTTTTCTCTCTCTGCTCATCCAGTAGCCCTACCTGGAGGTGCCTGGGATTTAGCCTTCAACCTTTTGCATGCGCACTGACAGGGAGCTTCTGTTGAAAAGCAGTTGATACATTTTAAAATAAATGATATAGCCCATTGAGCCATTCCGTAAATTGAATTTATGCGAATTTATCGATTCAGTTAGAGTAACATGCACAGGAGGACTGTTTTATCATTTATCCCATTCTTGGGTCACATTTAACAAAGCATAAATATCTGGCAGGATTCATTTTCTCCTTTCCTTTTCCTCAAGTTTCCTTTGCTTCCTAAAGCAAGTTTGCAATGGAATTTTGTGGGGGGCGGGTGTTGGGTGTCCTCTCAGCCCCACTTCACCCCAGAAGTCTTCTGCAAGAAGAACCATAAGGATGAGGGGGAGGAAGAGGAGAAAATAGAACTAATAAAGTTCTAGATAGATACATATGAATATTCTGACCACCTGAGATCTTTAACTGGCTATGCCAGGGTTTTAGCAAATTGTACATGGAAACCATGTGCTCTGTCTACTACAGAGTCTCTCAGCATTATTCTTTCATGACCTATTTTTTGTATTGGAAAAGTTCAGAATATCATGGACGTCGATGGAACTGTGAGCACTACAAATTCTCCTCAATTTGCGATCGGATTTCTCTCAGGCTCCTTGCCCGTGTATGTGTGTTTGTACAATTATATGTGCTTCTTTTGTCATAGTTCGCTTTAGCTTGGTTGCATGGAATTCATTAGCTGCTCTCATGTGAGGCTTAAATTTCTGTGCATGTAAGAGAATATCCTATTTCTTGCAGAATAAATGTTCATTTCCTGGCAGGAGTGTAATAATAGAATAGGTTCCCCCTCCCCTCCATTCAAAAAAATCTTCTGTTTACAGTAAAGGGAGAGAAAGCCACAATAACTGGCAATAGCTATGCAAAATTATTCATGGGCAAGGATTGTTGAACTTCAGGAAGTTGCTTTCCAGGAGAGGCATGCAAAATACATTTCTCTTCAGTAACCAGACTGCTGATGACGCCGGCCTAGAGACACCATTTTGCTTTTCCATATTTTGCCAACCATGAAAGTGCTAGGAGGTATTTGATGTACCTGTGCCTCTTTTTTAAAAATACAACTTGCTCTCAGGGAGGAAGAAAAAATCCAATTTGAACAGAAACAAAAAAAAGATAAAGAAAAAAAGATAGTTTGGGGATATGCGCAAACTGCAGCCAAGTGTTTTGGTATTCAGAACAGATTATGCCTAGTCTTTGTGAAGGCTTTTGCAAACAGGCTGGGAGATTTATATAAACTGGCACACAATTTAACAGGCAACAAATAGATGCCTTAAAAAAAAAAGGTCAGGGCTTTAAATTCCCTGTTTCTGGATAGTGAGGGTAAAAGTTGGAATTATGCTGGCTGGCTTATTGGTATAAATGACAGAGCAAAGGCAGACATTGCTGGTGTCTCAGTGCTAAGCATTAAGGCATTTTGTGGTGTGGTCGTTGACTGACTTGTTTCAGTGTCGTCAGAGCAGGCAGAAAGACATAGAGAAGATGGGTAGAAGAAGCACGAGGCTGGGAAAGGAAGAGGCAGCAGGCAAAGGGATGGTCCAGAAGACTGAGGAGAAGAAAAATGCAAAGGGCTATGTCTGAGGAGGAGGAGACAATAGCTAGCAGAAGCAACAGGCAGGCAGAAGAGGCTAAGAACTTAGAGGTGAGGAGGGCTGAAATCCAATGCAACCAGTTTGCCATCAGGAGTATGAACCTGCACAGGCTTGTGTTGTTCATTCTTTTTTTCCTTCATACATGTGTGGAGGAGAAAAAATGTTTCTGCTTTTGCCTTCGAACTAACCACAGTTACTTGACATGTCCCAACTCAATAAAGTGTGGTTTCATGTAACTTTAGTTACTTAAAATAAACCAGACTCAAACTCTTTAAGGCCAGCATTAGCAGCCAGAACATCTGGGAAGCTGAGGAAGAGCATTTTCTAACATTGCTGTACGTGCCACTTCCGTTTTGTCACTGTCAGCCTCTGCTGGAGGAGAGAGCCAGTTGAGGGAGCCAGTTGTGAACCTTGGACTATAGCAAGAAGACCCCAACCCCCAGAACAATATTTAAGCCAGGCTGCTGTGGTTCCTTGGAAGGAAAGGAAGGCCCAGATTTTTCCAAATGTATACCAGGAGAAGACATGTGAATACATAAAAGAAACAAGAAAGAGGTCAAAGGTAAAACCAACGTTACTTGTGTGTTCAACAGGAGGATGGTAACACTAAGGTTGTCTACATATTATTCTGAACACAAGTGCAAGCTGCCTCTACAAATGTACAAGTGTTTGTATGGAAGAGTGTACACTTGATGATTCGTGCAGCTCATTTATTGTGTACACAAGTAGACCAATAATACACTCCTTGAATGTTGCATGTGAATAACTGTACAAACTCACCTATACAGATCATACATTTGTTGAATGTGATATGTAAACACCTCTACTGTCAATGGATATGGCAGGGGGAACTTAGGAGGAAAGATGAGAAGTTCATTGAGACGATAGTGAAGCATCCATGCAGAAATATCAGAGAAGCAGCTAGAGATGGAGCGTTGGATAGAGAGGGAACGTTCTGGGATAGAATGACAAGGCTGGATGCCATCTACATATAATTGATATTGAAAGCTATGGGATTTGATGAAATCGCCAAGGGACAGTGTGCAAAGAAAGAAAAGCAAAGGGCTATTTTTATAAACTGTGTACAAAAAAGTTTTTTTTTAACAGTGTCAACCCTAACATTACATGTCTTAATGTCGTACTTCAGAATAAATATTTACTCATACACATTTAACTCTATTTAACTATATGAGCATGTCTTCTATGTTTAGCTGTATGTCTGTAGTGTTTTATATGGAAAGTTACCTATTACTGCAGTAAACAGCTTCCTAAGGCTGGAACTGTATGTATAATCTATGCACAGGCTGTTTTATAAATGCTTCATTAAGCAGTTGATCAATAACTGCTTTACAAATGAATTTACGGCATTCACTAAAATTCTAAGGGCTGTCTACTTCATTATAAATCACTTATTGAACATCTATAAAGCAATTTTAGAGAGATGTGCTGCCTTTAAAATAATGCATCCCTAGTAGTGATAGTTATAATAAATACTTCAGAAATTACAGCCACACTGCTTGGCAATTCACTGTTTATCATCTAAAAGTGCTTGTTTATGAACAGCTCTTTAGCATTTATTATTTGGTAATCTTTAAAGTACATATGGTTGAGATCTTGAAAACACTTGCACTACTGTGCTCTTACATTTCAGTGAGTGCAGTACAATGAGAGCGTTGAGGACTGGGGCTATAGTACTTCAGGCTTTGTCAAATGGGGCAATAAAATGGGCTTGTTTGTTTTTTACTTCAGTTTTTGTATTTAATAACATTATAATACTGTACTGGCTGCAAGAAGGGCCAGGGATTCGCAATACATTGCGTGATTGGAAATTTTGAAATTGCTCTTGGGATTTTAACTTCAAACTGGTTTCAGGCAATGTATTGATAAGGGCCTTTTTCAGTCCAAATGATTTTCTTCCTAGGGAGGCTGCCACTCTTAAGAAATGGTGCACAGTGGGGTCCATTTTCAGATTCTACAGTCTTTCTGCAAGGAGATGTCAGTTGGTAATTGATTACAAAGCATCGTGTGTCATTTGCACATTGCTTATCATCTAGGCAGAGGATGTGTAGCACAGGAGGTTACTTGCTGTTCTTCATGCACAGACAGCTAAAATGTCAACTCTGGAGCCCAGAGCAAATTCCTGTGCAGATTTAATCGGCAACATGTGTGGCTCGGATGCTTGTATGTACACTGAATACAAAAGCATTTTGAGGAACTTTCCGTTTTCCTGCACAAGCTTCCCTAACAGACCTCAAAGATACCAGCCATTCCATAAGGTGTAAACCATAGTAGTAAAAAAATTAAAAATAAAGTTACTTAACTTTCAAACATGGAGGTGTCTCTCTTTTCCCATAAAGCAGCAAAGCTTTCTCTTATAATTGTGCTTCTGGATACACATTTTAGTTGGAGGGCAATATAGTAGGTAGAATGAAGAAGTTTTTTAAATAAAAATGGAAAAACCCCTAAGAAAACCATCTGCTTGGAAGTTGGCGAGTGGGGTGAGCAACATTAGCCTTGTTGGTATATCACAATCTTGGCCACTTTGCTCCCCCACTTTCACAAACCACGGTCCTTGGCTACGTCAAATCCCAACCCGGGACTGTGTTTTGTTATACTCCCGCTAAACCACTCCCTAAACCTAAATCACTACCTTTTTGTTCTTGGCTTGGTGACCATGATCCATTGCAGCAAACCAATCTGATCCTAGATTGCACTACCAGGGATGCACTACCAGGGATGTGGCAAACAACCCACAAAGTTGCATTCACAGCAAACCGTTAAATGTGTTTACCGTAAATGGGTGAACTGGACCAACGAAAGGAAAATCAAATGTCCAGCTTGAAAAGCAAACACTTAAGGGAGCATTTCCTTTTGATTAGCTGCAGAACTCTTTCAGTGTTGGAACTGTGGCAATCTGAGGTGCGCAGAATTCTTTGTCATGCAGAAGCCAGCATATGCTTATACAGCAGCTTTGGACATTGCAGATATATGAATCTGCCGTACACCAAGTTGGACCATTAGTCCGTCTTGCTCAGTATTGTCTACACTGAATGGAAGTGGCCTGTCAGGGTTTCTGGCAGGGAATCTTTCCAGGCCTACCTGAAGATGCCAGAGATTGAACTCTGGGTCTTCTCCATTCAAAGCAGATTCTCTGCCACTGAGCTGCATGCTTCTCAATCATTTTCTGAAAAAAACTGGAGATCCCAGGAATTTCTGCTCACACCCTCCAAAAGCTGGGCAGGGTTTGCAACACCACGCAGGCTTCCTGGGACCGGGGAGCGAACTTTGTTACAGGGTGGCCATCGCCCCGCCCCCATCTCGGCAGGCCTATGGGCTGCCAACTGGAGGTGGGATGAGGGCTGGGAAAGGGGCCGATGCTCTTTGGCCCAAGTTCACTTGTTTTCTTTCCAGGAGATACCAGGAATTGAATAGGAGATGTTCCTCATGCGAAGCATGTCCTTCGCTGCTGATCTGTGGTATCTCCCCAAGGAAGTGCCAACAGCCAGATGCGTAGTCAGTCTGAGCTCTGGCTGCTGACACTTCCTTACAGTGTCAGCTGTGAACTGAAGTAGGGGAAATGTGCAGCAGTCAGCTTGCTGCATGTTTAATTAGCGTTGCTTCTTGGTCCAAAAGACAAAGAAAACCAGGCTGTTTCAATAAAAGACAGTGGCCAGGTGGGTTGTTTTAAGTCATAATTTAATTCACCCCCAAATAAGATTTATTTAAATGATGCATGTTTGTTACTATTTCTCTTTGGGTTTCTCCCCCTCTTTAATGGCCATGTAGGCATGCTATCTAGGGATGCGGGTGGCGCTGTGGTCTAAACCACTGAGCCTAGGGCTTGCCGATTGGAAGGTTGGCGGCTCGAATCCCCATGACAGGGTGAGCTCCCAACATAGCAGTTCGAAAGCAGGCCAAAAAGTGCAGGTAGATTAATAGGTACCGCTCTGGCGGGAAGGTAAACAATGTTTCCATGCTCTGCTCTGGTTTCGCCAGAAATGGCATAGTCATGTGGCCACATGACCCGGAAAAACTGTCTGTGGACAAACGGCTCCCTCGGCCAGTAAAGCGAGATGAGCGCCGCAACCCCAGAGTTGTTTGTGACTGGACTTAACTGTCAGGGGTCCTTTACCTATACCTTTTAAGGCATGCTATCTAGTTGCTAAACAAATCATTTGAAACCAAATAAGAGCTTCCATGCAGCCTAGGCACATGTCACAAACCACATCTTTAGACACAGATTTTGTTTGGGCACTTGGTACACCTGCAAGGGTATGAATATCACTTCCTTGAAGACTCTGCAACCTGATTTATGTCTTCAGGTGTTAATGTTAGTGGGAATGGGAAGAAGAATAGAGGCTTACCAGGAAGATTCCGCATTCGAAGTTTGTTTATGCTTTTATATAATTTTATTCATGTGTATTTTATTTATTTCAACATAATGTTAGAGAAACACTTTTAAAAGACAACAATGGGTCTTGCAAAATGATATCCAGTTTTTGCTTCTATATGATTTTATTTGGGTTTATATACATTTTATTTGTTAACTTCTCTATGGATACATAGTTTGCTTTGTTAGTTTCCTTTGTCATGGCCTGATAACTGGGTACCATCTAACAAACACGAACCTTTGCCTTTTTATTTCAGACAGTTGTATCCCACCTTTTGGTGTCACTGCTTCCAGGATAGCTAACAGGTGTATGAAAAACGATAAAGCCATAAATCAATTAATTGGTGTAATACCATTGTAGCTCAAACAAAAGCAACAAGGCAAATAAAGACCACATCCCCACTGCAGCCAACTAAAAGAATCAGTGTTTAAGAGGCCTAGGAAAATAAAAGTGTTGGTATTTGCAAGAAAAGTAAGAACAGGTACCAGGAAACCCTGCTTAGGAAGAGTGTTCCTAAGACCACATCTGCACCATAAACCATAAACATTATTATACCACTTTAGCAGTCATGGCTTCCCCCAGAGAATCCTGGGTACTGTAGTTTGTAAAGGGTGTTGAGAGGAAACCTCTGTTTCCCCTACAGAACTACCATTCCCAGAATCCCCATGACTGTTTGGGTATAATAGTGCTTTAAATGTATGATATGGATGTGGCATGAAACAAAATACAACAAAGACCTTTCCCTGCCTAACCTCTAAGCGGAAAGTCACCTAGAGAAAGGCCTCCAAAGATAATATTAGTGTAGCTTTCCCTAACCTGGTGCTCTTTAGATATTTTGAACTACAGTTCCCATAATCCCTGACCATTGGCTCTGCTGGCTTGGGTGGTGGAAGTTTTAGTCCAAAACATCTGGAGGTCTTCAGGAAGTCCATTGTGGGCAGGTTCATGTGGGAGAAGACACACTTTCAGGTACTTGGACCCCAAGCCATACCAGCACTTTGAATTGTGCTCAGAAATGGACTAGTATCCAGCAAACGTACTTCAGAATTGGCAATGTATGTTCCCATTGTCAATTCTCAGCTAGCAACCTTGCAGTTGTATTTTGAACTAATTGACATTTCTGAACAGCCATCAAAGGCAGCTTCATTTGAAGGGAGCAATCTTGCTTCCTGGTAAAAACCTGCACAGGATCAGGCTTTGTCTCCAAAGGCAGTTTGGAATTTTCAGCAGAGATCTTATGAGAGTCTTGGCCACCCTGCAAGGCTATCAGACTTTACCTGCAGATTTCAGGTTAGGGACTCTGGTCACTTTGTTCTAGAGATTGGATCTCATAATGCTTCATTAAAATGAGATGTTGTTGTTGCTACTGAAACTGCAGTGCAAGAATCTTTTAACAGGCTTGTAACTGAATAATAAAATTTGATTGACTGTGTGCAAGAATCTACGTATTGAGTTTGTTGATTTGCACAGCAGCGCTCTCTCTCTCTCTCTCTCTCCCTCCCTCCCTCCCTCCTCTCCCCCCCCCCAACCTGGGTCTTTCACTATTGGCAGGGCATTTAGCATTTCTTCTCTGGGCGATTTCATGTAGTACCATAAACGAACACTTGTTAACCTTTTGTTTTTGTCTTGGGTGCTCTAATCATAACCTTTCTCCAAGGTTATGCTTCTGTTCTAGACCCCTTTTAGGTTCTTGTTAGGTTCGTTGTTAAAAAGAGAGGGGAGGATGCATAACTGAAAAAACAATACAGTTTTGCCAGGACAGTTGAATGGCTATTATTTGTGTCCTCCAGACAATCCCTAATGGCAGCGTTTGCTCTTGGTGTGCTCTAAACCTTTTGCTTCTATTCCTGGGATGGGAAGTGCACGTATGTCTCCTAACACCTGTGGCGTGTCACCATCTAAACGACCTATTTTGAAGTGAGCACAAAATTGGGTTTTGTAGGAATGACACTGAAACTTCTGAACCTTCCCTAGCACCCCTAGTGTGTTTCTTAATGACCTTGGGACTTTTGAAGTCAAGAGCCTAGGATTCAGTTTTTCCTTCCTGCACAGGCAGAATCAGGTCCCTGCAGTCTCTTAACAGTGGGATATTGACTCCTAATTGATTCCAGAGACTGCTGGATGGGAATGTGTTGAGTCTTTCAACTCTCCCTCCAGGGTGTCAGCCTGAAAGTAGGTAGCTCAGTCGCCTAATGTGCTCCCCAGATTCATAATAACCCACTAAGCAGATGTCTAGGGAGGAACTGCAGATCACCTTGCCATAACTTCTCTCCCGAACAATTTGCAAGCTGTGATGCAGAGCTACAGCCAGGATTTTACAAGATTAGGAGAACTTGGAAAAAATATTGGCAGGATTTCCGTAGTCTGTTTATATAGGAAACAGTATTTAAACCTTTGAGGTTTGAACCCCAGAAACACATGTAAACACAACCCATCTTCATTTTTTTTTATTTGTTACATATGTGTATACCACCCATGTAACTTAAGTTCTCCAGGTGGTTTATGGAGCCATGAAAAAATATAGAAGCAAACCAGTATTTACACCATGTAAACACCTCTAAAACTAATTATAAAATGAATCGCAAGAGCTGTAACCATTGTAAGCACGTCAGCTAAAAACAATATAAAACCAGAAAGGTGGAACTTGGTGCAGGGAGGGGAAGTCTGACACGCCAGACAGATGTAGCCATTGTAATGAAAAATCATGGGAGAACAGAAAGTTCTTCAGTTGGTGCCCAGAGACTATAGGTCACAGATCACAGACTGTAGAGTTGGCACTGACCACAGGGGCCATCTAGTCCAACTCCTCAATGCATGAATCTTTTGCCCAATGTTCCTTAAGATATAAAAGCAGGGGTCAGGATTGCTGGAAGAGGAGATGCAACCCGAGACTTCACAGGAGCATGAAGTTGTTCCAGCAATTAGTCCTACTTACCTGCCATGCTTTGAAACAGAAGCGGGGCAGGGGGACGGGACAACTGCAGCTGCTTGCAAGAATGTCTTTCCTGCCAAAAGCTCCTGGGCTGAAACCTGGCAGTCCTTGGGGGCTGGGTCTGCTCCTGCCTCTTAATGCACCTCTGTTCCTTGGAGACAATGCCAGCCTTCCCTCCTTCCCTGACAGCTCAGTCTGTGCTGTGGACCCACCCCTCTTGCCTGGCAGAGAAGTGGCCTGCACAAAGTTGCATGGTCCTGTCTCCTCGCCCTTAGCCAAGGAAGAGGATGCTTGTGAAACTTTCAAAGGGAGAGTCTCAATGGAGGACACTGAACCCCAAGTCAGGGGCTTGAGTGGGAGGGCTCTGATCCATGGCCCGCCTTCCTCCTTTTTGTCGTCCTTGTCAGAGTTATAGAATAAAATAATAGAATTGTAGAGTTGGAAGGGACCACGAGGGTCATCTAGTGTTTGGGAAGTGCCCTGACAGATGGATGGAAAAATAAGTCTTTCCCCAATCCAGTGGACATAATATACTCCACACCTAACAAATGCAGCATTCGTATTTCCAGTAGGATTGATGAAGCCTTATATGTTTTATTGATTAGCTATCCCAAGCTGTTCAAATTTGTATTAGTTTTGTAAAATGACTTGTTCCTCTGTATTTAAGCCTATGAGAGAAACAGCAACTACAACTCATGGGCATTCTTTTTATGACTGCAGTGCAATTACAATTCATAGCTTTAATATAACCTCTGCTTCTGACCTCATCTTAAGCCCTTCTTTGAGTCTGAACAGCCAAATGCCTTGCTTTCTGAATTGTCAAAATTCCATATGCTTGAATTGACCTAGA